GCTTTCTAAAAATGGTATCATTTTGTATATAGTGTTCTGGCTTGCTTTTTTCACTTAATGTTTCTAAGGTTAAGTAAGGTTAACCATTTTTTTAAGTTTATTGTTCATTCATAATGCCCACTTTGGGAATTATGTCTTTGTATACGTTGTCCATTTTACAGGGTATTCTTTTTTTCTGGTATAGGAAAGTTTCTAGATTCCTTCTTACTCTAAATTCCCTGAGTTTAAGATTTTTCTCTTACAAAATAAAAGTATCACTTGGAAGTTTAAGTGTTAACTGGTTGATAATTCAGATAAATTGATCTCCCAATTCTATTTTCTGAACCTATTTGTTATTTAACTTCCTTCTAGGAAATAGTAATTGTTGTTTGTGCTATAATGAAAAGATTATAATAACTCATTTTATTATTTAGGCATAAAACCCACCCAGACTTGCAAATACTTATTGACCATTTGCATCTGCCCATGTGGCAATGTTAGTTGGTTGAAATGAGGAAACAAGGATGTTCACAATGTACCCTCGTGGACTTTATAGTAGAAAAGGTTTAAAAATTGTATTCATGGCTTTTCAGTTGGACCGTTGAAGTTTTCTGAGGAGGTATTTTGCATTTTTAAAGGTTTGCTTTTCCCACAGGACGGAATCCTTCAGGCTGGGAATTACACATGAGGATTTCAGAAGGGCCTGGGGTGCTGAGGGAGATGTCAGGGTTTTGTTATATTCATATAGATAACTTACATGTATGTGAAAAAGGAAGTAAATGTTACCTAGAGCAATAGTTTGCAAACTTTCTTGACCTGAGTTCACTCAGGCACCCATTTATACTTTTAGATGGAAAAAATTTGACTCAATTGCACCAAAAAATTAGAGGAACAAATTAGCACAAAAAAATAAAATGTAGACACATTCAATGCATTAAACTAAGGTATTTTCTTTACAGTAGTATCAACAATGGGGGGGGGAAATAGTAATGTTTTTGATAAGAATCCCAAGAGGGCTTCTAATTTTGAATCAGTTGGCCAACCGTCAAATGTAGGGTTTTAAAGACCATCTTGTTTTGATTTATTCCCAGAGACATGATCAATAAGCCAAAATATGAAGTGTACCCAGAAACGATCAGTGCATATCAGCTGAATACCCTAATTAAAAGTGAAGCTTCCATAATAGAAAAAAATAACATTTTAGGAACGTTAAGGGGGAGAAATGGAAACTGTGGAGCTAGGGGAGTGGTTCTTTTAAAAAATATAATGGAAATTTAGGGTTAAAAGTACCACTAATGTTTCCTACTAATGTGAGTGTTCAGCTATGTGAAAATCTTCAGTGTGAAAATCTACTATGTGAAAATCTTCAGTGACATGGGCTGCATTATTTCCCATGGCAGCCATTCCATATTCAGACACTATAACCCTTTTCAAGTTTTCCTTCTACTGAGCCCAAATCCACTGTACTATCCAGGGCAGCTCTCATCCTCTTCCACATGGACATCCTTCTACTGTCTGAAGAAAGCTGGTCGTGTGACCTGGGTCCTCTCCTGCCTGGGCTGAGCTTACACGGCCTCCTCTCTGGGCGTTTAGGACCACTCAGCAGCCCGTTTGTTCTTTCTCCAGTGGCTTTTTGTTCTTTGCTAGATTATACTCATCAGAGTGGCCTCTTCACAAGTGAGCTTACAAAACTGAAGGCTGTAACCAGCACACACACAAAAGCATACATATACACACTGCTCTTAAGAGGTGTTTCCCAGCAGATTTTTTCTACATTTCAGAAAACAGGAATTACGTCCCTCGGAAGTTGGCTTCCGGAGGAAGCCTGGCTGTTTCTTGGCAAATAAGTGTGTTTTAGCTGAGTAACGTAGTGTTATGTTTTCTCAATGTGTTAAACAAATGCATTTTTATGTTTGTGCTTTCAGAGAGTGGCCAGAACTGTAGTGCCAGTAGTAAAGGTGAACGACTAAGTGCCAAACTCAGAACTTTACCTGGGACAAATGAACCTTATGAAAGTAGCAGTAACAAAGAAATAGGCAAGTGCCGGTGCCCCCACCCAGTGCCCATGGGCACAGCAGATCTGAAGAAGACTGGTGAGATGGCAAAGCCGTGTACTTGGCATTAAGAATTTCATGTGGACAGACTACGTCTTGGATGACTTGGGAGAGCATTTCTCTTCACTTCACTCTGAGTTGTTCAGTTTTGATTACAAGACTAATTGGTTTCACATTTGGTTTGCTTTTTATATTACTCTAATGCAACAATCTCTTTTGAAACCTAGATGCCTCCTACGTGGACCCACTTGGCCCTCAAACAGAAAGACCAAAAACTGCGGCCAAAAAAAGAGTCGAGGAGGAGGATTTTGCTGATGAAGACTTAGGAGATTATTTGCTTCCAGAATAATATGGACATTATATGTTATTTATTAAAGGGAAGGAAACACCTTACAGTTAATACTCATGTTAAACTTTGGATTAAATATATAAACTTTAATTTTGTTCACTGTGAAAGCTTTAAATAAGTGTATTCTGTTCTCTAAGTATGGGTTTAAATTTTGTTTTGGTTTTAATGGAATAAAAACACATGAAATTAATACTTTGTGCCAGTGACTTTCTTACCCTTTTGAAAACATTGTCCCCCAGTAAGAACTAAGTTTTGTTGCCCGACCTAGTACCCACCCCCCCCACACACACACGTACGTATAGGTATGTGTGAGTAGTCACAGATATGTACCCCTATCACCACAGTGTGTGCTATTTTCTATAATTTCATTTTAAAAAGTGTTATGAGAACACTAGGTTGATTTCATGATTTGCAGCTTGGAAAATACTGTGCTATCACACATCACTGATTAATCTTTATTCAAGTTAAATTACTTCAAGTTTGAAATTTTTAAGTCTTTGGAAGTTTTGCCTGAAGGGGATTATAATATTATTAAAATGGCACATTTTAGAGGCAGTACAAAGTATAGTAAGGGAAAATATGAAACCATGTGCCCATTGCTCTTTTCTGTAGTTCCTTCGTACCTTCAGCCAAGTGGCGTGTACCGATAGCACTGAGCAGTGACAACGCTAAGACTGCCTTTCCCATGTGTGACATAGGGCGTGGGAAGGGGCCAGGACCACACGCATTTCTTCTTAGTGATGTGGACACTAGAGGAATCACAGTGACGGGCGGTCACAACTAGCTCATCGTGAACCCTTCTTTAGGGAGGATGGACCCCTCCACCTTATTATTAGATATAACAATGTCTGTCCAGTGTGCGCGCTTTGGTGCAGGAGACAAAACCAGAACCAGACCATTTTCCCTGGTCCTAGGACCGGTGAGGAGCCCAGGGGGAGGCAGCCAACAAATGCACTAACGTCCAGTATGTGCAAGATTCTGGAGCCACAGAGCAAGACCCCGTCCTCAAGGTGCTGAAATTCTGGTGGGAAGCAGACAAGTGTATTTTTAAAGGGCTTTAGGGATTGCTCAGTGCAATTAAGAAAATAAAATGGAGTGATGTGATAGGGAGTGAGTACGGAGGGAAAGTGACTTGGAGCAAGGGGTTTGAAGCTGCGTTTGGATGTGGTGTGGTTATTGGTGATGGCAGTGTCTGGGGTCTGAGCCTATGACCTGACAGCTGAGAGGTGATGGGAGAAAAGACAAGTGGAGCCCAGCTAGTCATTCAGAGGACAGGGTGTGAGTGAATCATCTGTGTGGGTGTAAAGGTGCCAGCATGGCTGACAGGAATGATGCTAACCAAGAAGGTGACAGCAGGAACGGAAACCACACTGGGGAAATCTGACTGCCCTTTAAAGGTCTGGGGAGGGTGGGTAGATATGTGCATCAGTAACCCAACACGTTCCTAGAAGACTTTCAGCACTCTCCATGCTAAGGAGTCTTACAGCCGTGCCTGGTGTTGGGGTGGCTGAGTGACCATGGGGTGAGAGGGAGGGACTGAAGGCAACTTAAATCAAATTTACGGGACTATGAGGATGGTGACATCTTCAGTTGAGAACACTAGAGAGGCATTAATTTCTAAGGGAACATGACGAGCTTGGTTTTGAGTGCTTTGCCTTTTTCTCACTTGTGTGTCTCAAATCTGGATTTAATTATTACGTGATTTCACGTGTTCATAAGTATGTTCAGATTTAAAGGGAACTGACTGTGAATTGGACAACTAAAACACTTTGCACCTGCTTATAAGACACTTTCTCAACTCTGTTCAGACTCACAAAGACGAATTTTATGTTCTATCAAATAGGTGAGCATTTTCAGTAGTTTGTGATCTTATCACAGTGAAAACTATTGGAAAGTAAATATTTTCCACTTCCAAGGTCACGAAGGGACCAAGGTCATGAAGGGAAAAGAGAGAAGTTACCATGTTATCAGACAGTGGAAGGCATATTGTTGAATAATATGCAGAATTAAGAGCCTGGCACTGTGTCACCTTACATATGAAAGGGTGCTGTAATGACACTGAGTATTCCAATGCAATGTGATGACAGTGTCTCCTAAAGGGCCCCCACATTTTCTTTTATCAAATAAAAAATAAGTAGTAATTGAGTATTTATATCTTTATTTCCATTTCACCAGAAAGGAAACAAAGAACATTAACAGTTTGTCTACTAGTCAGAAAATGGTGTTTTATAACCTCAAAAGAAATGTCCACTCACCAAGAACTGTAACTCTCTTAAATTGGAGATTTCTGTGGGACTTTTGGCAGTAAATAACATAATCCCTAAGCTCTTCAGCTGTAGGATAGTCAAAACGTATAAAAGTGTGCTTTTCTTGCCCAGCATAACAAAGGTAGCTTAACCAATGGTTTTCCAGGTAGTCAAACACCAAGGCTGCAGACCATTCAGGAAGCCTTAACAGGTGTTTTCTACGCTTTCGAAAACCTTTCAGCGGGTAACAATCTTTTGTTTTTATTTGTTTTAAAGTATGACTGCTGTAAAATGACCATATTCATGAGCCTACCACCTAAAAGGCATTAAGCTTAATTTGTAGAATGAACAAACGAGCACGTTTTCTTGTGTTCTTGCAGTATAACACGCATAGTTCCTTTATTTAAGTATATTTCGTCAAATTTGTTCACAGGCGCTCAGGCTTCTTTGACATGACTGTATTTACAATGAAGGAAGGACACCCGACATCGGGACAGACCAACCAAGCGATGCGCACGCACAGCCGTGCAAGTACGGTTGGGGGTTAGCACTTTGATTTCTGAGTCGATAGTGACGCGTGATTATTTTCTGGGCTTTAGGGGAAACAGAGCGGTGTCCTGTCACCTGCTGGAGAGCTTTGAACAATCTGAGGTGCTTCTCTGAACGGCGGCATCTCAGAGGGAAAGTCGTCCTGCAGAAGCCAGGCCTTCCAGGGTGTGAACTCGCTTTCTCCAGGTGGCCCGCTGTGTCGTCGCAGAGCTTTCGTTGCTAGAAGAGTCTCGCCCTGGGCCCACTGTCCCCTCACTGGGCAGGGCTGGCGGCGCTCGGCCGGCCCCCGCGGCCCCCGGCGGTGGGGCGGCGCCAGCCCTGGGCCGAAGCCCCTCCTCCGCTCGGCCAGCCCCCGGCCCAGCCCTCGGCGCGCGGCTCTGCGTGGCGGACGGGACGGCGTCTCCGGGGACATGCGGTCACTCGTGAGTACACGCTGTGGGCGGCAAGCTCCCCGGCCCCGGCTGGTTCCCGGGCCCCCGCGGCGGGCCCCGTAGGTCGGCCGAGCGGGGCCCGGGCCGCGCGGAGCGTCACAGGCACTCGCAGCCCGCGGCGCAGCAGCCCGGCCGGCACACGCACACGGGCACGCGCACGCCGCAC